CTGCTCTTTAACCCATTCAAGTACCTCGCTTTCATGAACGTGAATAATAAAACTTGGAAATAACCAAGATCCGCTCATAGGACGTAATAATCGCTTTATGTAGAGCCAAAGGTCGCTTTCGTCCTTCCCTGGGAGCGCATCCCCGCCAAAATATAAATAAATAAATAAACCTACGGTGGGTCTGCACAATACTAGACTAATGAGATATTCATTACAAAACAAATCACTATGTAACGCTAATGAGAACAATATTAGGCATGACAACTCGCACAATATTTGATAGGCGGTGGAATTAAGCAGTTATATGCAAGTATCTCCCTCCACCCAAAGTGGCTTTCACCTGGCATTTGTTCTCAAATGGTTAAAGTGTGTGTGTGTGTGTGTGTGTGTGTGTACACACGCAGGGGTGCGTGTTGAGCTTGCTTTTATATACGCTCTATACAGTGGACTGTGCCCCCAACTACCCCAGTAATAAGATCATTAAGTTTGCAGATGATACAACGGTGGTTGGTTTAATAACAGCTGAAGAGGGGGAGGCGGCCTATAGGAAGGAAGTTGAGCAGTTGGGGGAGTGGTGAAGGAAAAACAACTTACTCCTTAACTTAAAGAAAACAAAGAGATTATTGTGGACTTTAGGAAATGTAAATTGAATATTCAGCCACTCTTTATTGAGGGGAAGTGTGTGGAACAGGTCTCGATGTTTCGATTTCTGGGAATGGAGTTGAGAGATGCCCTAACCTGGGGAGAAAACAGCAAAGACCTGATGAAGAGAGCACAGCAGAGGTTATATTTTCTGAGAATCCTCTGGAAAAATAATCTCTCAAAGGACCTGTTGATGGCATTTTACCATTGTACTGTATGGTCTGTGTGTGTGGTTTGGGAGCTGCACGGTCAGGGGAAAAACAATGCTGTCCAGGATTGTAAAGACTGCAGAGAGAATAATTGGGTGCACTCTTCCCACCTTGGATCAAATCTATACTTCCAGGTGCCATAAGAAACCTGCAGAGATAGCGCAGGATAGTGCGCACCCCGGAAATGATCTCTTTCAGCTTCTGCCTTCTGGAAGAAGGTACAGGGTTATAAAGACTAGGACTAGCCGCCTGAGAAACAGTTTCTATCCAAATGCGATTTTGCTTTTAAACACAGTCTAAGGAGTCTCTATGGGAGTATATTGTATTTAATTAGGGGTATCAGAGTTTTTAGGGGCTAACCAGGCTGGGATAGTTGGGACAGCAGGCTCATTGGTTTTTGAATGTTTGATGAAGATTTTTTCCAATTTTGTTGTTCTGTATGGGACAATGACAATAAAGATTATAGTATCGTATCGTATCGTATCGTATCGTATCGTATCATAAACTCTGGTGTCTCTAGGTAGGGCAGGGGAAAAGTTCTGCCTCAAACCCTGGAGAGCTATCAGTCAGGCCCCATCTGCAGTAAACACTTAAAGCAGTATCATGGCACTTTAAACAGTCATGGCTTCCCCCTAAGGATTCTGGGAAGTGTAGTTCGTTAAGGGCGCTGTAGAATACAATTCCCAGAGGAAAGAGGGATTGGCTGTCAAATCACTCTGGGTTACGTATAACTGCCCTGATGCCACCATGAGCACAAATAATAGCCAATAAAAAGGACATCTGGGAGGGAGGCAAAAAAGCACCCCCAAAATCAGCGAAATTAATTTGAATGCTGGCCTTTTGATCAATTGGAACTCCACTTGCTAAACCAGCATATGAAATATAGGCTAGAATTGAGCTCCTCTGGCACAAATCCTTAGTTTTGCTTCTCTACTCTTCTTTACACACCCACAGTTTGCGTATATTTCCTCCCATCAGGAGTATAGGCTCCGGTTTTTAATAATAACATCAAATATATAACCCAATAACCAGTGCTTTTTTCCTAGAAAATTAGGTGCCGGGAGATGGGACCCTGAGGTTTCTCCATGTCATTGTGATATAGGTGTGGCTGTGTGAGAGAAAGAACCTAAAAATAAATGTCTTCTTGTGATAACTGGATAAATTAGCACCTTGCAGTTTCATTATGCTCTGTTCCTTTGGCAGCAGGAATTAATTCCGGATTACCTGGGGAGGTGTTATTGTTTATGCAGTCTGGGAAGGTTTGAAAACTCACTCAAATTGCCGAAGCCTGGCATTTCCTAGGCATATCACACACCATTCTTAAATGGAAGGCACTCTGCAAAGGGCTAGTTATTGGTAGCATATATTATGCCCTGTCCCTGAAAAGTATAGAAGGATCACCTGGATGTCAGAACGAGGATGCTCTGGAATTAGAGATGGGAAAGAAATTTGATTCTATCCTTCACAATTTGCACTTCTCTGAAATTTGCAATGCTGTTCCCCAGCCAAGAGATTTGCACAAAGGTACACCTGCTGGGCTGAAATGTGTGCACAAAAATGCATGTGAGAGTGGAAATAACACTAAAAATGCGTTGTATTAGGGGAAATCACTTGAAAAAATATGCACGCCAGGCATACAAAAATGTGTATCTTAGGAAAAATCGACAATAGAATGCTGATGAATTTTTGTGAGGATTTTAAACATACGCACACACTGCAAACCGATGTGGAAATATGGGGAACTAAGCGGAAGACTAGAAAAATGAGAAACTGAAAAAGATAGATTCACCCAACCCAACCTAGAATACAACTCTTGGTTGCGCATGTTGACTTGGTGCAGTAGACAGAGCAGTGGGGATGAAACTGAGGTGAGCGCTCCTTAGACTAACTTGGAAATGGATGACGAGAAGGGTTAGAGGAGTATCAAACCAGAAAATATTTGGAGAATGGAGAATATTTAAGGATTATATAAGATCATATTGTACCACTCATACCATAATTAACAGAACTTGAGTGATACTTGTAAACACAACAAATACCGTTTGTGGAGTAGACGGGAACAATATTAAAGAATATAAAACTGTGCGGGAAAAACGATGACAGTATAAACAGTACAATGAGACTGATTGGAAGACTCGTTTTGTCAGAAGACTTTTTTATTTAAGTGTTTAATAAAGGTGCTGTTTCAGCTGAAATGGTAACCACATAAAAGCTTATAAAGCAAAATCTTTTCTGAAAGCAAATGCTGTCACCTGCTGGACAATGGTGAAATGGGCATGTGAAGGTCCAGAATTTTATTAAACGGGTTGCTTCTGACAAATCTAGAAAGCATCTTAAGAACCATTATATTCCAGATAAAGTGTTAATGAACAAGGCTTAATTATCTTTCGGGACATATCTGGTCCTGTTTAGAAGGATGTCTTAATGCAAATCAGCTCTCTGGCTACTGTTAGCCCAACAATCACATATGCATAATTTTAATTATTACTATTTTGATGTCAATGTTTCTTTCCAAACAAGCCCCAAGCAGAAGCTGAGTCTTGTTCTTAGCCTACCACACATGGTTTGTTTCAAGAAAAGCAAGCCATGCCTTCTCCTTTATGGCACAGGCGAGGAGCAGGATATGAGCAAAGCATTTGCACTCATTAAAACATACCTTATTTTAAACTATAGTTTAACATTGCATGCAGAGGATAAGCTTTCAATGAACAGCCCAGAACCAAAAAAACAGAGGCCCAAGCAAACAGTGAGAAATTGCACCAAAACATTCAGAGAGCAAACTTTGGGGTGCCCCTAAGCATTGGCTTCAATAGAAATAAGCATTGTTCCGCATGATATTCTCATGAAGTGTTAAATCCTGGGGACTTTAAGAATGGACACTTACACAAGAAGTGAAGTACAGACTCGGTTGGCATCGCTCTGTCTCAGGAGACAATGGAGAAGTGTATCTTTGGGGCTGAAGTCAAACTGTTGGAGGGTTGCAGCACTTGCTGTAGCTGTAGAAACCGATGTGGGAGAGGTATGTTTGGTTGCCCGCCCTGTGGAACGCCCTCCCATCAGATGTCAAGGAAATAAGCAACAATCTGGCTTTTAGAAGACATCTGAAGGCAGCCCTGTTTAGGGAAGATTTTGATGTTTTATCGGGTTTTTAATATTCTGTTGGGAGCCGCCCAGGGTGGCTAGGGAAACCCAGCCAGATGGGCAGGATATAAATAAGTTGTTGTTGTTGTTGTTGGAGCTGGGGCAGGTGAAGGCATCCATTTGTGCTGCTGCAGATGCACCAGAGCGTTCCTTCTCTCTGTGAATTAAAGGGGAAAGAAATATACATAAAATTTACAGGTGCTAATTTTTGGATCCAGATGAAAATTTAGAAACAATCGAAACAATAATTTCAAATACAGTGGTACCTCGGGTTACATATGCTTCAGGTTACAGGCGCTTCAGGTTACAGACTCCGCTAACCCAGAAATAGTACCTCAGGTTAAGAACTTTGCTTCAGGGTGAGAATAGAAAACACGCGGCAGCAGCAGGAAGCCCCATTAGCTAAAGTGGTACCTCAGGTTAAGAACAGTTTCAGGTTAAGAACAGACCTCCAGAAGGAAGGTACCACTGAGGTACCTGAGGTACCACTGTAGAAATAGAAGACATCCCAGCAGAGAGGGGAGGGTGGTGACAAAAGTGCTTTCGCTGTCTGCTGCCCAGGTGCTCACTGATTGGACAAAAAGTCCTGAATTTCAGGGGGTTGGACTAGATGACCCTGGCGTCCCTTCCAAGGATGTGATTCTGATTCTATGATTTCACAACTTCCAAGGCCACTCATGCTCTCCAGACTTGGACTGGACAGCCCTCCAAAGAGAGAATTTTTTCAAATGGGGGGCTGTGCCGCTGACAGCCCATCAAGCAGAGGACCATTTCCTGCAAAGCAGGACAAGTTGCCTGCCCACCCCCATAAATACGAATTCATAATTTTTCCCCCGCAGGCAAAGACTTCCTTGGCTTTTAATTAATCTCTTTACGGTGCTTAGGGGGAAGAAATAGCTGCTTTGTAAGCGAGTGACAGCAACAATACTAATAGATGCTCATGGTCCTTTTGGGATGTTGGTGAAAAGCTTCTTGTGATTGACAGGAGCATTCTGAGGCAGTTAAGAGGCAGTTAGGAGAGGCAGTTAGAGGATGGGGAGTTAAGATTAGGGTGAGAGAGAAAAGGACACTGGAAGAGAATCTTCTCAGTTTATAGTCTGGAAATGTATATTGTTTGTTGTTATTATTAGCATGCCATGGGGATTATTGTTTAATAAGATAATGTACAGTTAAATAATATCCACAAGATTTTGCCTTAATTGGATTTGCCTCTTTCACGTGTGATTGCTGAACCCCTTTAATTTTCCAGTGGTTTCCTAGTACCAGGGAATACATTCCTCTTTATCCCTCCCCTCCTTTATTTCGTCCTTCCTCAGTTTATCCTCTGTGCTGGGGGCACTGCTATTCTTTCGCTCCGTAACTTTATTTAAGCACTTGTTGATTTTGTATCCTGGTCCACAAACATCCCAACAGAATTTTAATCCGAGTCATGTTGACTTGTGTGGACTTATTTCAGCGGGGTCTTTACTAGTTGCCAAATTCAAAAACGGGAAGGGAGGGATTATCACCCGTAAATTGCTTTTTAAAAACACTGAAAGCTACTACCCTAAATGTACTGTAAGGTTTTGCGTTTCCTTACCACAGAAAGGTCATGACACCATCGTAAGTCAAGTGCCTACAATTAATAATGTTGTTTTCTGAACTATACAAACCCATACTGCTTTCTAAACCTATACATGCGCAAACAATCCCAAAGTCTCTGGGTTCATCCACTCAGTTTCTAATCCTTATGGGTCTTTTTTCCTCCAAAACACCACAACTTCCTGCATCCCAGGCACATAAGCACACTTTCTCTTCTCCCTTTCCCGCCCCACAATCATCTACGATCTGAGGTAAAGCTGTGCCACCCGCAATCCCATTTCTCCCCTTCCTGTGCCCTCAGTAGAGCTGGAAATCATGAGCTTTGACCTTTTTCTTTATTTTAATACATTTATATCCGACCTTTTCTGCAAGGATCTCAAGGTGGCGTACACATTTCCCCATTTTAGCCTCTCTTGACAACACTGTGAGGTAGGTTAGGATAAAATATAGTAGGCTTCGTGGGGTTTTGAACCCAGGTCCCAGTACAAACTGGAGAATTGTTTGTGTCCTCCCTTGCTGGAGTCCTATGCCCAATAAGAGAGAGAATTATTTGAAGTATTCCTTTTAAAGCCTGTACAATCCAGAGAGATCCAGAAACCAGAGATATTAGATCTTTGATTTTAAATGAGATAAACACCTCATAAGGATTTTCCTTTTTTTTTATCGGTTTGTGAGTGCTGCATTCAATTAGAAATGTTAGGCTTGAAAGTTGTTAAAACAGATTAAGAGCAAGCAGACAACTTCCTCATATAAAATTGATACCATCTTCCCAAAGTGCTGGGGGTTTTTCCCCCTAATAGGGCACATGAGGCACAATGCTCTCAAAATCAAACACTTAATTCTCTTCCAATTTCAGAGAAAGGGAAGCATTTACTGAACTGCACCACTGAAAACAATGGCATTTCAATGTGCTCCTCAACTGTGGCTGAATGGTGTCCATTGCATTTTTCAGAATAATAACAATTTATTATTTATATGCCACCCATCTGACTGGGTTACCCCAACCACTCTGGGCGGCTTCCAACAAATTAAAATGCAATACAACAGCAAAAAAATTAAAAAGGAAAGCATCATAGGCAGACACTGGAGAGGCCTGTCAGGAGTAAACATGGACCATTGGTATCAAATAGTATGGGGAAACAGCCTTACTAGAAAAACCAAAACTGACACAGGGACAAATAGAAGAAGACGCCTTCACCCCGGTATGGCTCCCCTTTATCACATGCACAACCCAACAAGAATCGGCCAACAGCATATGAATCAATATGGCCAGCGTGACCCAAAAATCCACACTCACACACATAAACACATCTCACTACAGCCAGCCAAAGACAACCAACCACATCCTAGGCCACCCCCAACCTCTCTCCCCACCAAGGAAATATAACAAGCAAACAGAAAGGGAATCCACACAAGTGACGCGGACACAAAACCCCACACATACATTTAGTAGAATAATATTGCATGCAACGCTAATGCCTCACAACCAATGAAACTGATCCGTAGAAAACACAACTTGAAAAAAAGAGAAAACGCACGTATTTTTGTAAACTAAGAAATCTTTAATAAAACTTAAAAAAACACATTTTAAAAAGAAAAGGGGAGTGTTTCTGATATTCAAAAGCAGTCTAGGGTACAAAGGTTTAGGTGGAAAATTATTTGTGTCTCTGTATTAAAATATAAGCCCCAGTGTGGCTCTGTGGTCTAAACCACAGATCCTAGGGCTTGCCAATCGGAAGGTCGGCGGTTCGAAACCCCGCGACGGGGTGAGCTCCATCTACATATGAGCTCTTTGAACATTCCAAAATACGAAATAAATGCTAAGTATCGTTTATAGCGAAAGGGACACGGGTGGTGCTGTGGGTTAAACCACAGAGCCTAGGACTTGCTGATCAGAAGGTCGGCGGTTCGAATCCCCGTGACGGGGTGAGCTCCCGTTGCTCAGTCCCTGCTTCTGCCAACCTAGCAGTTCGAAAGCACATCAAAGTGCAAGTAGATAAACAGGTACTGCTCCGGCGGGAAGGTAAACAGCATTTCCATGCACTGCTCTGGTTCACCAGAAGTGGCTTAGTCATGCTGGCCACATGACCTGGAAGCTGTACACTGTCTCCCTTGGCCAGTAAAGTGAGATGAGCGCCGCAACCCCAGAGCAGTGGCGTAGCGTGGGTTGTCAGCACCCGGGGCAAGGCAAGTAATTTGCGCCCCCTAACCCATGGATTTGCGCCCCCTAACCTGTGGATTTGCCCTAACCCCAGATGTTGCGCCCGGTGCGGCCGGCCCCCCCTGCACCCCCCACGCTACGCCACTGCCCCAGAGTCATCCGCAACTGAACCTAATGGTCAGGGGTCCCTTTACCTTTACCTTTACCTTTTCCCTTCCACTCTGGAACCCCCAAGATGGCTCATAGTCTAAATAAAACTACAAGTCCCATAGAGTTCCATGTGGGATGACTTTTGGAAGGGCCACAAAGAAGAATAACAATTTCAAGATCTGTATGAAGGCAATATTAGGCCAGCCCAAATGTCATAATGTATCTGTGAAATCTTTCGATTTTTCTCCAGAAATTTCTCCATCAGGCTAGATAAGTCTTGTCTAACCTAGTTTCACCCCACCCCACTCCACTGAGGTCTTAGACCCCAACTTCCATCTAATCCGGTCAAGGAGTGATCATCCAAAATATCTGGAAGCCATTAGGTTAGGGAAGGCTGGGCTGTACAGTCTCTCTCCACCAAATCTGGCTGCTTTGTTTACCATCTCCTGATGAAGAGTTCTGGATTAGAGCAAAAAGCTTGCACATAATTCTGTGGCGTTTCAGTTGGTCTAATAAGGGTATTGCCCCAGGATAGATTTTGACATTTTTCTCCTGGGCCAACACTGCAACTTTTGTTTCTCGTGTGCCTTAAAAGAAAAATGAGGATGATGTAAATTTTAGGCACTCTGGCAAAAAACAAACAAACCCCAAAGACGCCTGCTCATTGATGTCCCCCGTTCCTCTATCAGCAGAGGCAGCCAAAGCAAGGCCTCTGGTGTTGGGTGGAAATGCACAGGGTGACTCAAATGGGAGAAGGCAAATTCTCAAACACCCAGGTACCAAGTGTGGCGATCACACAGGGTCCCCGGACATTTCACCGTCTATTGATCCCTGTGCCACCACTTTATTTCTCGCTGCCACCACCCAGGCCCTAACTGGTACAATACTGAGTCCAGTCAGAGTTAAATTGGAATATAAACTTCTGTTTATTTATTGCAGTTTAACAAGCGTGTGGTTTCATAAACGGTATCGGTCAATTACAATCATGGGGTGCCTATCCAGACCTATAACTTCCGCTACCTGCTCTCACTCACTAAACCACCTCTCAGATATTGACTTGTCTTCCTAGCTCCTAACTGTTCCTGACTCAACTTATTTCACTACCCTAACTCCACCTACCCACAGACTCTATCCCAATTCACTCCCACTCTAGCCAACCTCCCCACAAACTCCTCCCTTCACCCCTCCCAGAGCTGGTTTTATAGTCCCTCTGACTCCACCCCCTGGGTTCTGATTGGGTAACTTGTTTAACTATTTCACCTCCTCTCATATGTTAACGTCACACCAAGTCATTTATTTTAAGGCTTGCTAGGCACACCCAGGAGTAGTGCATTCAGTCCTGTGGGCCCAATTTTGTGGGACTCCCAGCTGAGATCAGACAGGCCCCCTTCCTCTGGCACTTACTTGAAGACTTTTAAAGTCATTTCTGATTTTATAGTTAGTTTTCAACTGGTTTATCTCCATTGTGTGTGTGTGTAATTTTTATTTATTTTCCATTTAATATTATGCATTCACATCATCGTTATCCATGCTACCGCTCTGGCTCTTCAGAGCCTTTCGACTTCCTTCCCTCCCGCCTCATGGCTTTTGAAATTGACCTTTATATCATTCCAAGTTATACGTTTTTCCCATTCTAATTACACTCATTACAGAATGGCTCAAAATTTAAATAAATGTAGAAAGACAGAAGATTTCTCATTACAAGTCTTCAAGCAACCCTGCTAGTGATGTTAATCGTTTACAATCTCTCAGATATCGTATAAATTTACTCCAATCCTTTTGGAATACTTGATGGTGCTGCTTTCGGATTTTTCCTGTCGGCTTCGCCTGTTCTGCAATGCCCACCATCTTCATCTGCCACTCTTCTTTCGTTGGTTCCATTGCATTCGTTGAGCTGATTGCACGTCACTTAGAGACCATTGTAATTATGTGATATATCAATTTATGAAGTGAATAAATAAAAGCAGTACGCCTTTAATCGAGTGCAGAAGGAGTCCAGAAGGCAGTGCAAATCCAATAGCAACCGGGTGATACACAAATAACATTCACGCTGCATGTTTTTCCTAACAAGCACCAAACATTTGTCATTTATTTTTAGGGGACCGCATCAGCAGTGACTTGAGTTGTATGCAAAGGCTTGGAGAAAGCACCTGTTTGTACGGGAAGGTAAGTCGAGTGTTGCAGCATTTTTTTCTCATGAATAAGACAGGCCTAATCCAGGTTTTAAAGATTAACTGTAATAACAAATGGATTACAGGATTACGCTAGAGCAGTGTTTCCCAACCTTGGGCCTCCAGCTGTTTTTGAACTACAATTCCCATCATCCCTGACCACTGGTCTTGCTAGCTAGGGATGATGGGAGTTGTAGTCCAAAAACAGCTGGAGGCCCAAGGTTGGGAAACACTGCGCTAGAGATATGCTTCCCTATATACATCGAAATGTAATGTCGTCATGGTGCAATTGGCATGACTGCCAGTAGGGGGCCACACCAATACCATGATGACAGAATAGCAGGCAGGTGAAGGAGGAAGCAGCCCAGGTGGCAGGAAGACCAGGTGAACTGTTTTTATTATTATTATTATTATTATTATTATTATTATTATTATTATTATTATTGCATTTTTAAAAAATACAGAGAAAGCATGAATTAAACATTACATCCAAATATTCAAAAATAAAAAGTAAAAGTAAGAAAAGAAAGAAAAGGGGAAAGGGGAAAAAATAAAAAAATAAAAAAATAATAAACAAAAATGAATTAGTCAAGTACACAAAATTGTTCAAACAGTGATTTGAATATTCTATACACCGGGTTCTCAGAAAGAAATTATATTTGTAGTCCTTCTTTTCTTTCTTTCTTTCTTTCTTTCTTTCTTTCTTTCTTTCTTTCTTTCTTTCTTTCTTTCTGTTCCGGAAAACTAGTTTGAATCCCTGCTCTATTAGTTGACTTCCCTCCATCTCTTTGCGGCTTCAACGCTTCTCTTAAGTGACAAATATTCTGCATTCATTTATTAAAATCAGTCCGTCCCCCCTTATATCTGTGAGGTAAATCTAAGCGCAACCAAGTATTGGTTTTGGAACCATATTTTGTCAGGTAGTTTTTAAAGCAATCCCATTCCTTTTTGTACCTTCATATGCCTATTGATGTCTATTTGACATTTTGATTGTGTTGATCATAGAATTCTTGAATTCCATGTTAAACTATTCAATTTCCCTCCAGATTTACAAGGCAATCAGCAGTCAAGTAACTCCTTGATATCACAAGCACTTTTTGCTCAGTGTTTTGAGAGTTGGGAACAGATTTTCAAGAGATATTAGCAAAATACATGGTAAGTAACTTTGCCAACTTCTCTCACTTCTCTAGAAAACAACTAGATGAGCAATCTATTTACAGTAAATCTAACTGTGTCAGTAAAATAACTATTTCTGCAGCAGAAACGTTCTGAGTTCAATATTTGTACAGCTTATCCAAAAAGACTAGTCACTGTAGTAAAATATTAACTAGAAGTTTCAATCATTGCTTCCTACTGCGTCATCACATTAGACAGATACCTTCCAAAGAGCAGAAGGAAACAAACATACACTTTTAAGTACTTTAACTCTTCTCCCGGATCTTCTAAAGCTACTTTAGGTAAAATAATCTTGTTTTATTCACTCCTGCAAAAGTTAATTGGAATGATTTCCACAAGAGGCTACCGGGGCTTTGAATCAGCATTGCCAATGGAGTGTGAAACTAATCTTACTATAGAGTAAAATTGTAAGGCTGTTGTCACGCTACAGTTTGCGCGGTCACCAGTTAGGTGACCGCGGCAACTCCGGCGTGACCACAAAACAGCAGGCAGCACAGGCGGACAACGCAAGCTGTTTAAAGGAGGGTGGGCAGTGCTTCAGAGAGTAGTTTCCCAAGCCGCTTTAAAAGGTTTGGGGTGAGCTGGGAGGGAATAGGCAGGGTGGGTGGGTTGTGCAGGGAGCGGGTTGGGTCAAGTGTTACGGGAGGCGAGAGGGAGTCCATGAGCTGAGCAAGCAGGGGCAGCAGCCCCATGTGTGTTTGGAAAACCTTGGTGGTTTACAGTGGTACCTCAGGTTACATACGCTTCAGGTTACATACGCTTCAGGTTACAGACTCTGCTAACCCAGAAATAGTGCTTCAGGTTAAGAACTTTGCTTCAGGATAAGAACAGAAATTGTGCTCTGGCGGCGTGGCAGCAGCGGGAGACCCCATTAGCTAAAGTGGTGCTTCAGGTTAAGAACAGTTTCAGGTTAAGTACGGACCTCCGGAACGAATTAAGTACTTAACCTGAGGTACCACTGTATTTATTTCGTAAAATGGACACACCACCTGATTGTAAAAAGAAAAAATCAAAACAGTTTACAAAAGAAGATAAAGCAGTAAAATTATCAATGAGAAAAATAAACAGCAATAACAGTGTATGTAATGTTGAATTGGATTCTGTTCTATCATTATTTACTATTATTAAAGAATTAATATTGTATTAACACACGCATTACTTTCATGTAAGGAGAAATGGGCTACTGCGCCATTACTATGGAGCTAGAAAAGGGTGGTTTTAGTAGAGGTTGCCTTTATGGCACAGCTTCCCAGATATAACAGATATGTGAAAGAAAGGTGGTCAGATGTGAAAGAGCAGAAGAGGTCCAACACCTTTAATTGCTGTGTAGGATAGCGAAGGGACGCGGGTGGCGCTGTGGGTTAAACCACAGAGCCTAGGACTTGCCGATCAGAAGATTGGCGGTTCGAATCCCCGCAATGGGGCGAGCTCCCGTTGCTCGGTCCCTGCTCCTGCCAACCTAGCAGTTCGAAAGTATGTCAAAGTGCAAGTAGATAAATAGGTACCGCTCCGGTGGGAAGGTAAACGGCGTTTCCATGCACTGCTCTGATTCATCAGAAACGGCTTAGTCATGCTGGTCACATGACCCGGAAGCTGTACACCGGCTCCCTCGGCCAATAAAGCGAGATGAGCGCCGCAACCCCAGAGTCGTCCACGACTGGCCCTAACGGTCAGGGTTCCCTTTACCTTTAGGATATCGAAATTCAGTCTTTCCACACTTTCCACACTTGGTAAATGTATAGGGCCCCCCACTTTAACATATCTGTTATTCCCAGAATGCTAATTAATTTTGGTTTGTACTATGCTGTATGGTTAGATCGAGTTTCCTGTGAATATGTATCTGGTAAAGAATGGGAATCCATTGTTGTTGAAGTTCTGCGAATGGTGGGGGATTACATAGCTATTCTTACATGCAAAGGTCTTAAATTGCCATGTTACAAGAATAACAGTTCATCAGTCACTAACTGGCACTGAAAGGAATTGCTGAAATTAGAACCAGATGCTTATAGAGGGGCAAATAAGCCCTTTTCATGTCCTACTGCTACTTGTTCTCTGTAAATTCAGATTCAAGATTAGGAAACTAGATTTGACTGAAACTGAGTGTCTTGCTGCATTGGAATAATTTTTTTAAAAAGACTGTCAGTGCATTGGAAGCAGGAAATGGGCTACGAAGGCAGCTGGACCTTTGGATCATAAGGGAGTCAAAGGTGTGCCAAAGAAGGAAAAGGAAATTGTTATGTACTGAAGTTCTCACCTTGGGCCAGCAGGGGGATACTGTAGATAGTTCAGGTCCACATATGCAAATAAGGGATCGAAAGTGACGTTCAGTGATTGGATAGTTACAGAAAATGGTTACTGTTGCGTTCTAGTGGAGCTCTATATAAGCAGGCTGGCTGAACCCTTCAGTTCAGTTCTGTTCTGGCCTGTGAATAAACAAGAGCTGTTTGAAGAATCGCTGTGTCGTCTGATACGTTCACCCACAACTTAACAGAAATTGCAGAGAAGCTGGCAGAATGCTTTGTATGTCTCTTTCGCTGTGGAAGATGCAAGGCAGTTCTTTGTGCGCCCAAATGAGGGGATTGGTAAAAGTGAAGTTGAAAGGGAAGTCGGTAAGACTTGGGAGTTCCTAAAAATCACAATACAGTGGTACCTCGGGTTAAGAACTTAATTCGTTCTGGAGGTCTGTTCTTAACCTGAAAATGTTCTTAACCTGAGGTACCACTTTAGCTAATGGGCCTCCCGCTGCCACCGCGTGATTTCTGTTCTCATCCTGAAGCAAAGTTCTTAACCTGAGGTACTATTTCTGGGTTAGTGGAGTCTGTAACCTGAAGCGTCTGTAACCCGAGGTACCACTGTAGTAGAAACTCAGCTGAAATGTGCTCCTTGCATTTCTTTATTTGCACCATCTCTGCTTTCTTTGGTCAGTGTTTGTTCTCATTGGGGATAAGTGACCATTTTCTGAAGAACGGCTCCTTGCCTCCAGTAAGCTTCCTTGACTCTGTTCCTTAACCACGCTGGCATCCTCTTGGTTGCTGCACTCAGGTCCTGCTTGTGAGTAGCCTCCAAGCATTTGGTTGGTTGCTGCGAAAAGAGGATGCTGAACTAGATGGACCACGGGCCTGATCCAGCAACACATTTTGTGTGTGTTATCATTGTGCCTCCTTAGAGCATTCCTGAGATCCAACAAGGGACAGCAAAAAGCAAATGTTAGAAGCCTTTACAAAAGAGCAAACATGACACTAATCTCTGCAGTCTTTTAGATCGTTCTGAAATCTGCATTATCTCCGCAGAGAGCTGAAGGAAATAATATTAGTAACCCTTTATAATAGTGAATTTTGTGATACTGGACAGTACAGATAATTACTTCTATGCACTTTAATGGTAGATAAGTGGGATGGGTGAGGAGAGACTTAGGAATTTTCATGCATCTCAGTGTTGTTTAATCATTTATTTGTTTTGTGAAAGTAAATTGCCCTAACCTCATGGGAATGTTTTTTGTTTTGCTATTAATTTGTAGAAGTGCTCAGATGACCTCTAGTGGCCGTGTGATAACATTGCAGAGAAAGCGCACAATTCTAAAATATAACCTTAATATAGTGGGCTCACTGCTTTTTTTTAATACCATTTGGGGTTAAAAAGGTCCAATTACTTGTCCAAACTAAAAGTTAAATGAGTTAACAGGTGGTTCATAGTTGGTTTTGATTTCTTATCTTGCAGCTTGTTGTATTTAACGTGTTATATTACTTTTCCTGTTGGCTTTATATGGCAAGAGTGTTGTGCTGGATTTTTAATACCGCTTTGGAAATTTGTAAATAAAATACTAAAAGGCATTATTACACAGTGTTGATAAATGCTTAGTAAACAAATGCATTTTTAATCTTACTTATTTCTCATTTTAATATTAGGTTTTACTGTTGTTTTTTTACTCTACCTGTAGCTTTCTGTGTTTTCAGCTGTGAGCTGCTATGAATTTAGGACTGAAAAATTAGGAAATAAATCTTTTGAATAAAACCTAGAGACTTGGTGGAAACAAGGAAATAATTCAGTACTGTATTAGGTTTTCAAATAGCCTATAATTGGCTGACTGACTTGTTTTTCAGGAAACATTGCTATACAAAACCACGGCTAGCATTATTATTCGTATTAAGTGTAATAAGTGAAATGAAAACTTTATCCTGGGCAGATGGCGTTTGATCAGAAACACGGTGATGCTGCAATTTCTACACTTCAAGTTCAAGTGGATGATGTGAAAAATGTCATGAGCCAGAATATTGAAAAAGTCTTGGACAGAGAGGAACGGCTGAGTGAGCTGGCTGATCGAAGCGATGATCTCCAAACAGCGGTGATTCTACATTCATTTACTTTGTGCAGAATATTTATCGGTAAAATGGCTTTAAGTGGACTCTTTGAGGACTGGCATCAGGATCTGAGGGTTGTATCATATTAACCCCATCACGCAGCCTTTCTCAACCTTGGGTCCCCAATGTTTTTGGCCTACAACTCCCATCATCCCTGACCACTGGTCCTGTGAGCTAGGGATGATGGGAGTTGTAAGCCAAAAACATCTGGGGACCCAAGGTTGAGAACCACTGAAAGGATGTACGATTCTGCAAATGTACCATATTTTTTGCTCCATAACACTCACTTTTTTCCTCCTAGAAAGGGGAAATGTCTCTGCATGTTATGGAGCGAATGCCTACGGATGGTGGGGGGATCTGCTGCAGTGAGCAGAGGATCCATGGTTCCCCTTCCTTCCCTCCTCCGTGGCTCGCTTTGAATAAGCAAAGCGGGAGAAGAGCCGCTGAGTGGGGAGGAGAGAGGGACAGAGAGCCTGCTTGCTTTAAAGGAGCAAAGCGGGAGAGGAGAGGAGCCATCTCCTCTTATACCCCTCGTCTGCATTATTAGCAGCATCCTTCTCCACCCACCCCACGCGTGTTCCTTCTCCCCTTAAACCCCCCTCATTCATTATTAGCAGCATCCTTCTCCACACACCCCACGCGTATTCCTTGTCCCTTGAGTGCTTTTCCTTCCCTCCCCACTTAAAACATGGTTACAAAACACAGATCCACATGGATCCTCAGGATTTTTGCACTGGATCACCCCAAATTCACCATCAGATCACATAGCATGTCCATGGCTACAGCTTGCACCAAAAAAATCATGCACCGTTGCCTGGGGCCACAGTGGTGCAAAAACGTGGTTACAAAGCATGGATCCACATGGATCCTCAGGATTTTGACATTGGGCTACCCCAAACTCACTGACAGATCACATGTTTGTGGCCACAGCATGAACCACAAAAATCATACATCCACTGTTTTCCTCCTCTAAAAACTATGTGCGTGTTATGGTCGTGTGTGTGTTATAGAGCGAAAAATACGGTAGCTTCCCATCTCTCCTTGCACACTCTTATGGGGGTAACACCTGTAAGATTTAGGGGCACAGAGAGGGGTATGCTCCATTGCACAAGTGTAAATCCTTGGACTGATGGAAGAAGTTTGTTGGATCCACAGGGAAGCCACGTGGTCCATTTGCTAGCAATGCAGCAAGTTGCTTACTTTGGGGGCTCACCACAAATTACTCCTCCAAGAAAAGTCGTTGGTGATCAGGGCCTTTGAAGAAACTGTTTTAAGTGTTTAACTATCAATTCATGCTAATGAAGCAGCTTCAACAACACTGAATTCCAAGAGGAGAAATATTCTAGGCTCGTTTTGCGCTTCTCTCTCCCACCAGCTCTCAAAATACTCAGGCAGCCTGATGGAAAAAAGCTAACAGCATTATCCTAATCGTGCTTACTCATAAATCCTATTTAATTCAACAGGGCTTATTCACTTAAGTAGGGTTCAGATTACAGCTTAAGTGTGTTAACACACAATTCTTTGAATTGCATCCGTTTGAAAAACAATGCAAGCTAAGATTTCAATTACCAACTGTTGGGGTAATTTGTAAGTTACACAAAGCTACTTCCACATTTCTAAAGCAGCCGCTTTCATCCATTTGGTGTGTTGCCCTGCTTATTGACTTGTGCCTTTTTCCATTTGCTTTCAGGCTCACGGTTTCCAAAAGACGTCTACAAAGATTTCAAGGAAGATGTGGTGGAAAAACACTAAAATGATCATAATTATTGTTAGCGTTGTCCTCGTCATAGTAGTGTTCATCATCCTTTTAGCCACAGGCACCATTCCAACATAAGAATCCTTTTAAGCAGTTTCAAACAATGCACTGGCATTCTATAAAGAGTTCTAGATTGAAAGGCACAAGTATTTTTGTTTAAGTCTTCTATCTACAAATAAGTACAGTTAACAGCTACAAATTGCTTTTACACACTAGTGTTTGCCGTTGGCTGGCAAGCAACCAGGGATGGGAAACCTGTAGCCCTCCAGGTTCCTGGATTACAAACCACATTATCCACAACCCTTTGCCAGGCTGGCTGGGGCTGGCAGGAATTGGGAGTCCAACGAGGTCTGGAGGATCACGGATTTCCCAGCCCTGCAATAAAGGAATGAGCTAACTCCCCATTTTAAATATTTTGCATCATAAAAAGTGACAAGGCAATAGATTTGCCTATTAAGACAAAACCCTGAACAAAATTCTCAATGGTGCAGGAGTAGAAATATTAAGCCAATACTAATACTAAATTTCTAAGCCAACTTGTTGCATCTACTTCCTATTCTGCACCCTTATATGCTTAAGGCCCACATTCTACAAATACTGGTGTTTAAGGGTTAAATAATAATAATAATCTGATACCAAGTAGGAAAAGTTCTTTATTAAAGGGGGAAAGTTGTGCTATAGGCAAGAGCAGGCTTGAGAACTCTAGACCACAATGTCCTGCCCAAAGGTTTTTTGCTTATTCTCACACTACATGATTCTTCACTGCAGTTCGGTTTCATGTTTATTAAGCGATAGCCTGATAAAGAAATCGAGCCCTAGTGCAGGTGTATCTCATGCCTGGAGCCTCTCTAGCTGAAAAACTTTTAGTGTCTGAACTTCAGTCAATAGCTATATGTCCAGACACACATGACTGCAATGTATGGAGCCCCAGCATTTTATATGTAAGAATTTTGGGAAAGAGCAGTGAGAAAGATGCTGGGGTTTGCTGCCAGCCACTGGTGACAGCAGGTAGACGGACCCTAAAAAAGCACCTCCTTAGAGCCATGAGAACATGTTGAGACGAACAGATTGTGCAATACAAGCCATGGCAGAAGCAATTCATTCTGCAGTCTCTTACTCCAGAGTAGACTATCAGGAGCCTTCAGAGTACTTACCCAATTGACGGTTATAACAATCAGTACAAAATTAATGAAATGCTTAAAAGTGCTGTCTTTCTTGATTCAACTGCTTATAGAAATGCTTTGTTT